ACAACTACTATGAGAACAATCAGTTTCCAACCTAGTACCTTGCGTGTTCTAAGTGCTAAGTACATATTGAAAGTAAACAAAAACCAGATTTCTTAACCTAAGGACCTCTATTTTAGTCCTAGAGAGGCAGAATGCTATTCTCTGATTACTGCTGAGTCCTGAAGACTTTGACCCCAAGGGAAGAACATAAGGAAACCTTTGAGAGAGCTTACAGCTCAGCTTTTGCAGTTCTCAATAATTAGGCCTCCTCTGAACATTCCTCCCTATGACAGCATTTTTTTTTTCTACATGCAACCCATTTTGAAAAGTTTTTCCAAATCCATTAATTTTTAGGCTCAAAGCAGCCTAATTTTTCTTTGCCCATGTGAATTGTTTTATTTTTAAAACGTCTTGCTTTACTTTTTATTTTTTCATAAAAAATTTAAATAGCGTAAAAAAGGAAAATAAAGTCATCCCTTCCACGGTCCTAACTTCAGAGGTTATTGCTTACAGTTTCCTGTATTTCCTTTCACACTTTTTTTTAGATTTCAGCTTTATTGAAGTGTAATTGACATGCCATAAACTGCCTATATTCAAATTATACCATTTGATGAGTTTTGACATACGTATAGACCTTGAAACCATAACCATAGTCAAGATAAAAAATGAACTATCCATCACTCCCCAAAATTTCCTCATGCTCCTCTATAATCCATTCCTCACTCCCCATCCACCAACCTTGTCCACAGGCAACCACTGATCTTCCTTCTGTCACTATCAATTAGTTTATATATTCTAGAGTTTTATATAAATAAAACAGCACAACATGTACTCTTTTTTCCCTGGCTTTCTCATACAATATAATTATTTTGAGATCCATTCATGTTGTTATGTGAATCAATAATTCATTCCTTTTTATTCTTTTGTATTTCCATGGTATGGATATACCTCGATTTAGTTATCCATTCATTACTGATGGACATTTGACACATTTCCAGTTTTTAGTTGTTTATTACAACTAAAACTGCTCTGAGTGTTCATGTACAAGTCTTTGGGGACACATATAAACCAGTCTGATTTGAATAACTGTTAAAACATCAACAGCAACAGCTGTGAGTGACTGAGGAGAGAACATGGGTACAGTGATAGTGGTAGCATGTGAGCTATTTCTTTTTCAGTGTGTGTGTAGCTAATGTTTGCATAAAATCTCAAACATCCAAGTATCCACATGTTTACAAATAGGAATCATTGAGTTGATTTCAAACTTAGATTTGACCAGTCCAAGTTCCTGTCTAGTATAGGCTCAGCTCAAATGTCATCACTGCTGGGAGGAATCCAGAGAGGGTCACCAGCCATCTCTTCCCTGAATACCTAGAAACACTGGCAAGAAACTCCCTGAGTGCAAGGACTTAGGTCACCTAAGGGCCTGGACATATATATTAATACACACAGATTTTTTTTTCTAAGCAATTCCTTCCCTTTTTGGAGAGTTCTAATGATTACAAAGTCTTTCCTTATGTGGAACAGATAATCGATCTACTTTTTTACCCTGATTATGCCCTCAGGAACCATATTTTCTACATGAAGCTTTAAAAATATTTGAAATAGTGACAACACTTTTGTTTCTCTAAGTTAAACAGACCCTGGGTCTTTAATCATTTGTGGTAGGGCACAGTTTAACTTAGGACAGTATTGACCAAGTCTTCTTTCTTCTGAAAAGTGGTCTGCATGGTGACTAAACATATAGGTGGGAAAATCTGCCAGATCTGCATTCAAATCCTGATTATAGCTGTACGATTGGGGAAGATTCTTAATTTTATTATGCCTCAGTTTCTTCATTTGTGAAATGAGGCTGGTAATAGCTACCATACAAGATTGTTGTAAGAATTCAATGAGAAAATGTGTATTAAAGCTCCTTGCACAGTGTTAACATCATTAAATATCCTCTAGTTATTTAAGGATCCTACTAAAGTATGGTACACTCGCCCATAGACAGAGCTCCAGGTGTGGCCCACCTAGGGAAGGTTTTTCAATTTTTTTCTTATTATATTTTAGCAGTTATATTAAAAATAAAGATCTCCCCCCTCAGGGTTTTTCACAGGCATTTCTACTGAACCATTCTTCCATGGCTCATACTTGTTCAATTGGTTTCTTGACTTATTGCAGGACACAGTAATATTCTTATTGGTTTGGGATAATTATTCCAAAAAAGATCTTTTTGGATATTAACTCTGTTATCTAATAATTTATTAAATATTGCTACCAAATTCACCATCTACAAATTTAATTAAAATACTTTCTTAAGTCCTTGATAAAACACAAAGCAGGCCAGATTCAAAGAGCCTTGAATCAGTTCACATTGACACAAACTATTTAACCCATACGACTCAGCAAACCTTATTAGAATCCTGTCACATTTTTCATCATTCCAATAATGATAGCAAGAGAGTCTGTAAATGTCTTGCTGAAAGCAAGATACAGTATAACTATTGTGTCACCATAATTTACACTTCTAGTAACACCATTCAAAAATAAAATATAGATATTTTGACATGAATTATTTTTGTTTCTCCACTACTTTTAATTTATTTATTTTTTATTTTTATTTATTTATTTTTTGAGACAGAGTCTCGCTTTGTTGCCCAGGCTAGAGTGAGTGCCGTGCTCACAGCCTAGCTCACAGCAACCTCAAACTCCTGGGCTCAAGCGATCCTCCTACCTCAGCCTCCTGAGTAGCTGGGACTACAGGCATGTGCCACCATGCCATGGCTAATTTTTTCTATATATATTAGTTGGCCAATTAATTTCTTTCTATTTATAGTAGAGACGAGTCTTGCTCTTGCTCAGATTGGTTTCAAACTCCTGACCTTGAGCAATCCTCCCGCCTCGGCCTCCCAGAGTGCTAGGATTACAGGCGTGAGCCACCGCCCCTGGCCTCCATTAATTTTTAAACTCGATGATTTAAATTTATTCGTGAAGTATCTGATGTATAATTTTTTTAACCTATTTGATTATTGACATTTAAATAAATAATGGCATGTTAGTATCTGGTGACGTTTCAAAATATGTTAACCATGACTCACCTTAGGCAAATTATCCTCTCTGTGCCTCATTTTCTTCATCCATAAAAATGGAATAACAATGTCAACTTCATAAAGTTGTTATAAGGATTAAATAAGTTTATGTATGTAAAGTACTTAGAATAGTGTGATGCACAGAAAGTATTACACAAGTGCTTATTTTCTTAGTTGTTAGCCCAAGGCATTAGTGTGTGTAGCAGACCCTGGGAGAGGGAAGGGATTTACATTGTAGAAACATAAACAACTCAAAATTGAACGTGGCCATCATTTCTTTCTGACAGACTTCTTGCTTATTCAATGTTCAGGTGCCTCTTTCCTCTTCCCTTGACCTCCCTACAAACTCAATTCCCCTCAGTTCTGTTATGCAAACAACTGACCTCTCTATCTGTTGCTCAACCCAGGGCCTTCCTTGCAGAGCTGGCCTTGTGACTGAGCACAGCCACCCTGTGAGCATTTTCCCCCGATCCAACCCCTCAGGGATGCTTTGAAATCTCTTTTCCTCTTCTTTCCTCCAATAGCTTCTGGGAGGAGCAGAGACAAACAGAGATTTATTTTCCCATCAACCAGTATTTTGTCAACTCTCTTAGAAGGCTGCAGCAGCAATAATCAAGTCTTGTTTTAAATGGCAATTTTAATTATTGTGGCTTATAAATAAACATTTCAAAATACATATGCAAACACATTTTAAAATACACATTTTAAATATATTTAAATATATTCGATCCTAGAATAAATATATTCTATCTATTTAAATATATTCTATTCTTCCTTAATATTAAATTTCATTGGTGTGTTAACTAGGTCTTGATATTCAAATGGCTGATATCTATGAAAATGAAGTTCTGAGTGCTAATCAGGGTTTCCTCATTCTGAGAAACAAGTCAGAAAGGATGTAGTTAGCTTATCTAACCACAAATACAGCACTGATTCTGCCTGGGTGGGGAAGGAAACAAAGCAGAACTTGAGCAGTGTGGCTTTCTCAGCCTCAGTGAACACCAGAACATGTCTCCTCCACTCTTTCCCAAGGGCCTGACCAGACACGCAGAAGCCTCCTGTTCTTCAGTAATTCAGAGGGCTGGTGGGAGGGTCTCCAGGGAGATATTGAACTTGCTGTTATTAAAGGCAGTTGGGGTCTTAAGTGATACATGGGAAAATAAAAGACGACACTATATTTATATCTTAAGCCATAGGACATGTCATACCAGTCACACCTGATTATACAACTAAGTGTTCCAAAACTTCATTAGCCTGAGACTACAGAATCAGGTCACACTTTGTTTAATATGCACATTTCAATGAATCCAAGTCATCTTCTCTGGAATATGAGAAGCTGATTCTTATCAGACTTCCCTTTCCTGTTTGTTCATGGCAGGAATCCTGGAAGAAAGCCAATATGATCCTGGCATTTACAGGTTTTCTCCCCAAATACATTTGCCACCTATGCTGCAGCTTCACAGCTCTAAGGACACCGGATGTCACCTGGGGACTGGCTCCTCCCTGATACTGCTGCTGTCCTCCCCCAGGTGTTTCTACCCAAGCCTGGACACAGGCTCCACCTTTCACTCCCCCAAAAGCACTCAGGACCAAAAAGTATGTGTCAAAAAAAAAAAAAAAAGCTGACAGAAGCCTTCAGGATAACAGATGAGAATAAGACTAAAATGGAAGAAAACCTAAACTGGAAGGAATGCACCACTGTTCCTTGAGTCTGTAAGCCCACACTGTCCCTAAGGGATCCTCCACCAGGGCTGGCTTCGTGAGCCCACAACCTATGCCATCACACAGGTTCCCACTTTTAGAAGGGGCCTCACACTTAATGTTTTGCTATCACCATCTTGAAATTCTTAATAATCTTTGAACAAAAGGTGCTGTATTTTCATTTTGCAGCAAGCCCTGCATATTATGGAGCTGTTTACACCTTCCAATAACCATTCTTCTCCTTAGCCCCCTGCCTGCCTGTGTGTGGAGAGATCCATCACCTCTTGCCAACCAAAGTGCCCACAATTATGCCCCTTCTGCTTGGAGTTATGGCCAACTTGAAGCACAGAATTGCTCCCGAGATGCAACCTTGCTCACAATGAAGACTTGCAAGAGATGAAATTGTCCTTCCAGTACCATAACCACAAGGTAGTGTATAAAATGCTTTGATTTTAATACAAACATAACCACTATATATTTGGGGCCATATAAACAAAACTGTCCAAATATGGTTATCTAAAGATTCAGATATTCGGTAATACAAACATAACCACTATATATTTGGGGCCATATAAACAAAACTGTCCAAATATGGTTATCTAAAGATTCAGATATTCGGTCTCATGGAGACGAAAAATCAAGCAAATACATTTTTATCTGAAGATGTTTGTTTTGGTTAAAGGGCTTGGCCTCACCTTGTACATGCAGGTGTTTGGGGAAGAGAGTAGTTCATGACACCAGAACATTCTCCTCCCCACGTGCACTCTCTGTCTCTGACTTTCCACCTCTGACTCTCCCCCTCCCACACCCCTCCAGCCATCCCACTCCAGTTCTTTAGGTAGTTGATGTTACCAGAGTCTGGTAAGTGATTTCCAGACTCTGAAAGTATCTCCCCTGCAGGAGTGCAGGGGGGTGGGGGGGGTGGGGGGGTGGGGGGGTGTGTAAAGGCCTTTGGTGATCAGCTGTAGTTTGAGCTGGGAAGGGACAAAAGCAAGAAGCAGGAGGAAATGGGTCACTGCCTGGGGTTGGCAGGAGCAACTGCTGTGCCTGAGCTTTTATTCTGGGAACGAATCTTTGCTCTCTCCACCAGTGACCCACATGAACCATCATTCCCAACAGCAATAAACTGGGGCAATAAAGTTGGAAAGAAGGGCTGACTCCACAGCTATGGGGTAAGAGTTCCCTGGCAGGAGAAGAAAGACTGAAAGATACAGTGCTTTCTTGGAGACAAAAGAAGCAAAGAGAGTCTGAGGAAAGGAGATTGTAAAAACAAAATAAAACCCTCTGAGCCTTGACTAATTGCCCCTAAATGCCTCACTCCAAAACGTTTTTTTTTTTTTTCTTGTATTGCTCTTTGTACTTTAAACACCCTTTCTGTACACGTGAGGTGCAGGCGAGAGGGAGATAGCAGCGGCAGAGCCTAATGGAGCTGGGAATCACAAAGACCGTGCGTGGAGATCTTGGACTGAATCCCACTATTTGTCGGATGAGTCCTGGAAACACCCACTGAATTGGCTGTGTCATCCTTCCCTGCAAATGACATTTTAACAAGATTCTTCTACAGCCTGAAGTGGTGACTTTGTGATCTCTCAGCCTTAGTCACGTCCTCTCTCCCACCCAAGCCCCAGAGACTCTTCCTCTTTTCCTTGGCAGTTTCAGAGTCCCAGAATATTATTTATCAGTCAGCAGCAGAGGGCGATCTGGTCCCGGGAGGATGACCTGGTCAACTCCTGCCGTGTGCCTGGATTGCTAATGACTTGCAGCTCCATCAACATAAAGCTGAACTCTTCACAAAGGAACATTGTCACTAAGCATTTTCCTTTTCATTCTTGAAAGCTCCACTGCTTTAGCTAACCCCTTCCCCCTCCCTTCTTCATTCCTGCTCTCTTTCCTCTTCTAACCTCTTGGAAGCAGCAGGAAATGAGCAAGGTCCACAGTGGAGAAAAACAAATCCTAGAGCCCTGCTGAGGGAAAGCACAGGAAAATGACCAAGAGGCATTAGCAGCTGCAGGAGTTGTAGGTAGCCGTGTGTATTTGGGTGTGTGTATGTGTGTGTCTGAGAGAGAGAGAAATAGAAGAGAGAGGGAGAGAGGGAGAGAGGGAGAGAGAGAGAGAGAGAGAGAGAGAGAGAGAGAGAGAATATGTGTATGTCTTCTACACAGCAGTACCTTTCAAACTTTTAAACTTTAGCACACATAAAAATCACCTGGAGAGCTTGTTAAAACACAGCTTCCTGGGCCTCACCCAGGAATTCTGATTTACAAGTCTGGAGTGGAGCCCAAGAATTTGCATTCTTAACACTCCCAAGGTATTTTAATGATGCCAGTGGAGGACCACGTTTTGAGTAGCACTGCTGTACACAAATGCAGTGAATGGACTGTATAGATCTGGGTCAGGGGTTTACTTGGATAAAATCCTGATAATATGACCTCCCCCAGAACAGTCAGTCCAGATCCTTCTAATTCCAGACCAGAAGATTTCATAGATCAGCCTACTGCTGTTCCCTCCCCTTGGAAAAGCAGCAGAGAAAGTATCAACAGGGCATTGTTTGGAGGGGGCTCAGTTCAGATAATAGGCTGGTTCTCCATTGACTGTTTCTTTCATCCCAACTGGCAGGAGAAGCACAGAAGGCCCCTCCTTTGCCCCTGGGCAGGGATGGGTTCTCTATCTACATAAAAATCAACAATTCTTCCTAACCCTGTGTTCAACAACTCCTGCCCAGAGGCCTCTGTCCTCTCCTCCTCTCCAGACCCTAGAACCTCCAGAGTCATAAAGGCTGGCAGAATGAGCTGGTAATCCTTGAGATACCCAAAGCCACGTAGGCTGATTTAAAGAGACTCACTCTCTTCTGTTTATACTCCCAAAGATGACAAGACAGAGAAAAGCATTGCTGTGATCTAAATGTTGATGCATGCCCCCTCCAAAATTAATCTGTTGGAATTTAATCACAAAAGTAATGGTATTAAGAGGTGGGATCTTTAGAAGGTTATTAGGTCATAAAGGCAAAGCCCTCAGGGGTGGGATTAGTGCCCATATAAAAGAGGCTTGAGGAGGCCTGCCCGGTGGCTCACGCCTGTAATCCTAGCACTCTGGGAGGCCGAGGCGGGAGGATCCATCTAGGTCAGAGTCTGAGACCAGCCTGAGTAAGAGCGAGATCCCATCTCTACTAAAAATGGAAGGAAATTCATTGACCAACTAAAAATATGTAGAAAAATCAGCCGTGCGAGGTGATGGTGCCTGTAGTCCCAGCTACTCGGGAGGCTGAGGCAGAAGGATCGCCTGAGCCCAGGAGTTTGAGGTTGCTGTGAGCTAGGCTGACGCCAAGGCACTCTAGCCCAGGCAACAGTGAGACTCTGTCTCAAGAAAAAAAAAAAAAAAAAAAGGCTGGAGGGAGCCTGCTTTCCCCTTTCCACCATGTGAGACAAATAAAAATTGTCATCTATGAGGAACCAGCCCTCACTGTACACCAAATCTGCTGTCTCTTTGATCTTGGACTTTCCAGCCTCTGGTAACTGTGAACAATAAATTTCTACAGTTCAGAAATTACCCAGTCTGTGGTATTTTGTTATAGCAGCCCGAACCACTACAAGTGTCAATGGATACTTCTTATCCTCTCTTCATTCTCATTTATGACATACACCAAAATCAGTGGAATTCTCATATTTTTTCACTCTACATTTCTCCAAATGGCATGGCATTCAGGTCAACAAATATCCTTTGAGCACCTATTCTGTCTAGGCCCTGTGTTAGACACTGGGGATGCACAGTCTCTGACAAATCTAGTCCTAGACCTTGCAGGGGAGAAAAATTATTTTCTCTACCCTTTGTGTTTCTTAACTAAGACTACCTGTAACAAAGGACAGATTAACGGAAGAAAAACAAACAAGTTTTTTAACACATGTATTTTCATATATACATGAAAGGAACCCAGGGAATAAATAAATCTCTAGAGTGGATCTCAAAGAAAGTGTTTAAATTTTAGGCTTAAATACTGACATTCTGGCCAGGTGTGGTGGCTCATGCCTTTAATCCTAGCACTTTGGGAGGCCAAGGTGGGAGGATTTCTCAAGGTCAGGAGTTTGAGACCAGCCTGAGCAAGATCGAGACCCCATCTCTACTAAAAATAGAAAGAAATTAATTGGCTAACTAAAAATATATAGAAAAAAATTAGCTGGGCATGGTGGCGCATGCCTGTAGTCCCAGCTACTTAGGAGGCTGAGACAGAAGGATTGCCTGAGCCCAGGAGTTTGAGGTTGCTGTGAGCTAAGCTGATGCCACGGCACACTAGCCTGGGCAACAGAGTGAGACACTGCGTCAAAAATAAATAAATAAATAAAATACTGACATTCTCTGAAACAAAGAAAAGTATGTGAGAAAAGCCCTAAAACAAGAAGGCCGGCAAAAGCACCTTATACAAAGCTAAGGTTTGTTAAGCATATTTAAGTCCATGCCTTCTCCATTCATTAAGAATCTCTAGTTGCCAGATTCATATTTATCCCTAAAGTAAAAAAGAAGAATGAAGAATTAAAAATAAAGAAATTTAGAATAACATAATTATAAAAAATTAAAAACAAAACAGTCTCTAGTAATTTAGTCTTCCTTCTCTTACTGGTGCAGAGAGGAAGAGACCCTTACAAATGGAGATTTCCTTTTTAGATGTACAGTTGGCCCTTGAACAATGTAGGATAAAATGATGGCAGGAGTTAGGGGCATCAACCCTACTCCTCACTCCCAGAAAAAATCCACATATAACTTTTGACTCCCCTAAAACTTAACTACCAATAGCATACCATTGACTAGAAGCCTTACCAATAATGTAAGTGTTGATTAACACATATTTTTATATTATATGTATCATTACTGTATTCTTATAATAAAGTAAGCTAGAGAAAAAAAATGTTATTAAGAAAATCATAAGGGCCTGATGCAGGCCGGGCATAGTGGCTCACGCCTGTAATCCTAGCACTCTGGGAGGCCAAGGCAGGAGGATTGCTCCAGGTCAGGAGTTCGAAACCAGCCTGAGCAAGAGCGAGACCCATCTCTACTAAAAAGAGAAAGACATTAATTGGCCAACTAAAAATATATAGAAAAAAATTGGCCAGGCAAGGTGGTGCATGCCTGTAGTCCCAGCTACTCAGGAGGTTGAGGCAGGGGGATCTCTGGAGCCCAGGAGTGTGAGGTTGCTGTGAGCTAGGCTGACACCACAGCACTCTAGCCCAGGCAACAGAGTGAGACTCTGTCTCAAAAAAAAAAAAAAAAAAAAGCAGTCTTGAATAACTGGAACCTTTTTGCCAGATTGTCTAATGTCAATTTGTTTTCAGGCACTGCTTCTTCTGTGTTTTCTTCCTCATTGTCTGGCACTGGTTCTGAAGGACTCATCTTCATCAAGTCATTTTCTGCTAATTACGCTGGTATGGTGTCTAGTAGTTCTTGAATTTCTCCAAAAGCCATATCTTGAAACACTTTACCCATCCCACCTTTCTTGCCATATCCACAATGTCTTTCATGATTTCCTTGATTGGCTCTGTCGTAAATCCTATAAAGTCAGGCACAAAACCCAGACCCAGTTTTCTCCAGTGGGAACTTATTGTTCCAGTTTTGATGGCTTTCATGGCTTTTTTATATAACAACGATGGCATCTTCACTGGTGTAATCCTTTCAGACTTTCATGGTATTCTCTCCATTGGGGTTCTCTTCTATAGCGTTGACAATCCTTTCCATAGAGTACTGTGTGGAATGAGTTTCAAAGGTCCTTACGATCCTCTGATCTAGAGGCTGAGTTAGAAGCATTGTATTTAAGGGTAAGTAGATCACTCGGAGGCCTTTAATGTAAAACTCATGGTATTGTGGGTGGCCAGAGGTATTGTCCAATATCAAAAGAAGCTTAAAAGGTAGTTCCTTAATGGCAAGGTTATTCCTGACTTCAGGGACAAAGCATCAATGGAATCAATCCAAAAAAAGGGTTCTCTTGTCCAGGCCTTCTTGTTGTACAACCAAAAGACTGGAAGTTGGCATTTATTTTTTCCTTCAAGGTTTAGGAGTTAGCATCTTTATAGATAAAGGCAATACTGACCATAAACCTGACTGCATGTGCACAAAACAGTAAGGTTAACCTATCTCTTCCTGTCTTTAATCCTGGTGCTTGCTTCTCTTCTTTACTATTTAATAATAAATGCTGGCCAGGCACGGTGGCTCCCGCCTGTAATCCTAGTTCTCTGGGAGGCCAAGGAAGGAGGATCGCTCAAGATCAGGAGTTCGAAACCAGCCCAAGCAAGAGTGAGACTCCGTCTCCTCTAAAAATAGAAAGAAATTAATTGGCCAACTAATATTTATAGAAAAAATTAGCCAGGCATGGTGGCACATGCCTGTAGTCCCAGCTACTCGGTAATACAAACATAACCACTATATATTTGGGGCCATATAAACAAAACTGTCCAAATATGGTTATCTAAAGATTCAGATATTCGGTCTCATGGAGACGAAAAATCAAGCAAATACATTTTTATCTGAAGATGTTTGTTTTGGTTAAAGGGCTTGGCCTCACCTTGTACATGCAGGTGTTTGGGGAAGAGAGTAGTTCATGACACCAGAACATTCTCCTCCCCACGTGCACTCTCTGTCTCTGACTTTCCACCTCTGACTCTCCCCCTCCCACACCCCTCCAGCCATCCCACTCCAGTTCTTTAGGTAGTTGATGTTACCAGAGTCTGGTAAGTGATTTCCAGACTCTGAAAGTATCTCCCCTGCAGGAGTGCAGGGGGGTGGGGGGGGTGGGGGGGTGGGGGGGTGTGTAAAGGCCTTTGGTGATCAGCTGTAGTTTGAGCTGGGAAGGGACAAAAGCAAGAAGCAGGAGGAAATGGGTCACTGCCTGGGGTTGGCAGGAGCAACTGCTGTGCCTGAGCTTTTATTCTGGGAACGAATCTTTGCTCTCTCCACCAGTGACCCACATGAACCATCATTCCCAACAGCAATAAACTGGGGCAATAAAGTTGGAAAGAAGGGCTGACTCCACAGCTATGGGGTAAGAGTTCCCTGGCAGGAGAAGAAAGACTGAAAGATACAGTGCTTTCTTGGAGACAAAAGAAGCAAAGAGAGTCTGAGGAAAGGAGATTGTAAAAACAAAATAAAACCCTCTGAGCCTTGACTAATTGCCCCTAAATGCCTCACTCCAAAACGTTTTTTTTTTTTTTCTTGTATTGCTCTTTGTACTTTAAACACCCTTTCTGTACACGTGAGGTGCAGGCGAGAGGGAGATAGCAGCGGCAGAGCCTAATGGAGCTGGGAATCACAAAGACCGTGCGTGGAGATCTTGGACTGAATCCCACTATTTGTCGGATGAGTCCTGGAAACACCCACTGAATTGGCTGTGTCATCCTTCCCTGCAAATGACATTTTAACAAGATTCTTCTACAGCCTGAAGTGGTGACTTTGTGATCTCTCAGCCTTAGTCACGTCCTCTCTCCCACCCAAGCCCCAGAGACTCTTCCTCTTTTCCTTGGCAGTTTCAGAGTCCCAGAATATTATTTATCAGTCAGCAGCAGAGGGCGATCTGGTCCCGGGAGGATGACCTGGTCAACTCCTGCCGTGTGCCTGGATTGCTAATGACTTGCAGCTCCATCAACATAAAGCTGAACTCTTCACAAAGGAACATTGTCACTAAGCATTTTCCTTTTCATTCTTGAAAGCTCCACTGCTTTAGCTAACCCCTTCCCCCTCCCTTCTTCATTCCTGCTCTCTTTCCTCTTCTAACCTCTTGGAAGCAGCAGGAAATGAGCAAGGTCCACAGTGGAGAAAAACAAATCCTAGAGCCCTGCTGAGGGAAAGCACAGGAAAATGACCAAGAGGCATTAGCAGCTGCAGGAGTTGTAGGTAGCCGTGTGTATTTGGGTGTGTGTATGTGTGTGTCTGAGAGAGAGAGAAATAGAAGAGAGAGGGAGAGAGGGAGAGAGGGAGAGAGAGAGAGAGAGAGAGAGAGAGAGAGAGAGAGAATATGTGTATGTCTTCTACACAGCAGTACCTTTCAAACTTTTAAACTTTAGCACACATAAAAATCACCTGGAGAGCTTGTTAAAACAC